AAAAAAAATGTAATGTTTGCGATAAAAATTACATTTTATCGGGATGTTTTTTGTACTTAAAACTGCCATAACTTTTTCAAAAATGAACAAATAAAAATAATATTTTTTTGTATTGAAACCTTAGATATTTCCCTTTCATTTGATATAATTTTTTTTGAAAATCTAACACTTATTCTGCTAATTGGGGCGATTTAAAATAGTAACTTTTTTTACAAAAAATAACTTTTTCAACTTAATTTTTGAAAATGTTCCGGAAATACTGCGTCCTTTAAACATATATCAAATTAAAGCTTATTTTATGTACTACAAAATGAAAAAAAAAATTTGTCCCGACGACCTATCTTCTATACCCAAATGGCTACCATATTCTAAAATATGCTATTTTTGTATGAAAATTATGGGTTTTGTATTTTAATTTAATAGAAGTAGATGTTGCTTTTTCAATTATCCATCAATTTTTTTAAATTAAACACTATTTACAGATTTGCATCTAAGCGTTTCTTATGATAGTGATTTTAATCACTGTCAGATTAAATCTATACTGAACCCAACTATGCAATGTTTTTTATTAAAATTTTTCTTAAATTCTACTCTACAAAATAGCTATCTTAGATTTTTTTTTTACTTTTTATTTAAAATTTAAAAATAATTAATATTTTTAATAAAATGTAAAAAAATTAATTATTGAGATATAGCTATANACAAACTTCAAAACGCTACAGAATATTTACTACTGAATATTAATAAGATATTTTTTTACTAAAATTTTTCTTAAATTCTACTCTACAAAATAGCTATCTTAGATTTTTTTTTTACATTTTATTTAAAATTTAAAAATAATTAATATTTTTAATAAAATGTAAAAAAATTAATTATTGAGATATAGCTATAGACCTAACGTATAACTATTATTTAAAAAAAATATTATCTGAATCAAAAGTTATTTAAGTTGTCAGTGAGTGGTGGGCCACCTGTATACTATTTATAAATAGTATTTATCTCTGTCATTCATACAAAATTATTTTATATTTTTCGAAAAGTTATAGCATTAAAAAAATAAAAAATATAAAATGGAATTTTTTTACAAAAATCTTATTTTTTTAGCTTTGATGCGAAGCTGAGAAGGTATTGGTTTTACTAAGATGTGTTGTTTTTTGTGTCTGTTATCACTTTTTCTCAGCTCTCACCGAACGGATTTCTTTCAACGATACGTCAAAAGATCACAAATCGTATCTAGTCGAAGACATTACCCTTCAAAATTGAAAAAATTTCCCTCGTTCCCCGTAAATGGGGGAAACCTCCAAAAAAATTACAAATTTAAAAATCGCTAATTTTCGAAATTTTTTCAATTTTTTTTACTAAAAACTGCCGTAACTTTTTCAAAAATGAACATATCAATATAATTTTTTTTTATATAGATGCTTGATGTCTTTACCTATCATTTGGTATATTTTTTTTGTAAATCTGACACTTAACCTGCCCACAGGGGGGGATTTAAAATGACAACTTTTTCACAAAAAATTAACTTTTTCAACTTAACTTTTGAAAATGTTCCGGAAGGTCTGACACTTTTATATATATCTTAAATTAAAGTTAATGTAATATACTTTATTATGCGAAAAAAAAATTTCGGACTTTATTTTATCTTCAGGATGAAAATTCTCGATTTAATTATTTATATTATATTTAACTTTATAATGCTATAACTTATTAAAAAGTTTATAGATCCACACAATTTTTTTATGAGAAAAAATATTTTTTAATAAACCCTTTTTCATTCGACATACTTTATCTTAATC